ACTCTCTCTCTCTCTCTCTCTCTCTCTCTCTCTCTCTTATTTATGCCTTAAACTCTCAAAAAATGAAAAAAAAATAGGAGGGAAGAGAGAAATCTACTCCTTAAGAATCCCTTTAAGCTTCCAGCTATAAGATATTGTATTGTAGTACATTATATTAAAAATTATGTTCTATAGCGTATAAAAAATATAATTAAATAATAGTATGTTATATAACAATATTATTATAATAAATAAATAGTACATCTAAAATATTCAGGTCAGATCTTTTTGGGTCAACCTAGACTGACCTGACCTGATGTTGGGGTCCCCTACTTCTGGACCGGGACCCAGACTCGACCCATTGGATCTAGAAACCCAGTCTCGGAAACAAGTTAGGTTGACTTGTCGGGTTGGTGGGTCGACCCCACCCGTTGCCGGCCCCTACTTGGAAAGTAAGGTACCTGGAAAAGTTTGGGAAACTAGCTAAGAGATTGAACAACATTTTGAAAAATGCAAATAGTCAAAGCTGTTTAGAGGAGTGAACTATATTTATTATTATACAGATACAAACCCATTATTGATAGTGAATTTTTTTATAACTAGTGTACAGATTTACCCTTTTTTTATGCATAAACAATAATGAAAAGAAATAAAAGAAGTGAATTATCAAAAGAAAGAAATTTCAAATAGTCACTCGGGCTTCCTAGATGAGTTTATGGATGTCAATCTGATGGCTGCTAATTACTTGTATTGTACCATTTGAATGGAACTTTGGGAAAGTATGTCAAGATGTTACAAAATTATTAGGCTGGATATAGGGGATCAACATTTTATGACAACCTCGAAACACTAAATGTCATATGTTGTCAGTTATGTTTGCAGTGTGCAGGGACACATGAATTCATCAAATGCTTATTGAGCCCAAAGTGAAGCATGAATGAGATGTTTGGAATTGAGTGACATATGGAGATTCATTGCTTGTGAAATTTTTGTTGTTGTTTAATGTGCTGGTTTATTTGTCTGGACCCAAATCCATTTGAGATGATAAGGAATTTGTAGGTCATTGCTTTGAGTTAGGAATATGGTTTTAAGCGCGAGTAAGGTCCAACCAAGCCTGGTTGGTTAGTAAATTCTCAACTTAAAATACAAGAGGAAGTCCATTAGGATGATCAACATGGGCCCTAGATACCTATTCCTGGGAATATTGCTTTCTTGGATATTTAACTCCACATCCTGGACTTTATTTGAAAATGCAAGGGTCCACTTACTGATAAATCTACAAATTATGGGCAAGCAATGATGTGTCTCATCCATCAATCTCCATAAGCTTCATGCTTTGCCCTTCACTATCTTTGACTTGATTTGTCTAGGTCTATGCTGTCATGTCAAATGATATTTCAATAAGGACGTGAGTATTCATGGGTATTAGGAGGGACAGGGCATTATGTGAACATTACTTTTTGGGTACTTGTAAGGATGAGCTTAGAAGAGGAAAAAGTAGGGAATGGAATATCCTTGCAAAATACATTTAAGAACTCAGTTCTATGACTTGAATATGGCATTTGCTTAAATCTTATAACATTTAAATTGGCCAAGATTTGGAAATGTGAGTCTTTTAGAAATTCATAATTGGGGTTGGCTAAGTTCGGCCCTAAAAAAGTAGGGCTTGGGCCACAAAATGTGGCCCTCTTTATTTCTTGTTTTTTCTTCTACTATTTTTTCATTTGTTTTTGGCACAGGCCTGGCTGTTGCCACCCTTATTCATAATTTTTTTATAATCCTTGATCTTACCCAAGTCGTTAATGAGTCTTACCTGATTCCTTATATAAGTCTTCAGATAAAGAACATGTGCTCTCGACTATCCACATTTGTTTGGACAAATCTCACCAAATTGAGAAGCTATTAAATATTTGTGTTATCTTGGATAAGGTCACCTACTTTGGGTTAGGGAATGCTTTAGAAGCAATAACTACGAAGATTTCTCACATTTAGTACATGGCTAAATTTGCATAGCTATTATTTCTTAAACCATTCATATCCATATTTTTTCGTCTAGTTTTCTTTAGCTACCAAAATCACTTGGTAGTCTTTGACTCTTTTAAGTTATTTCCTACAATTTGTCAAGAAATAACCATTTTGGTGCAACGTTGTTGTCCCCCAACTTGTCCAACTACTTTCCAAGGATTGGTAACTTTGGACATAATGAGTATAAGAGTTAGAGAAATATATGAGTTCAAGAGCTCCACAATGGATTATGGTTTATTCTTGCAAGGATTCTTAATAATTCTAAGGGAAAGTTTCCTTAGAGGAAAGAGGAAATAAAGGCTAAGGCTGCCAAGAAAATGCAATGCTTCAAAGAATGAGTTAGTCATAGCATGCTCTAAGTGCAGGAAAGACTAACCATTTCAGAATGAGTTAGTCATAGCATGCTCTAAGTGCAGGAAAGACGAACCATTCACTCATCATAGCATGCTCTAAGTGTAGGAAAGGCCAACCATTTCACTCATGAGTGCATTGAGCCGAAGGAGGCATGAACCGTTCACTAGGTGCTAATATATCTGTTCTAGTGCATGCACTGTGTGCATTGATCGATTAAAGGTTGTCATTGAAAATGTTAACCTTTCCTTCAAAAAAAAAGGTTGTCATTGCAAATGCCACAGATTTCAAAATGACTTGTTTGATCAAGAAAGGTCACGAGATGGAGGCCTATCAAGCATGGATTAAGAATGATCATTGTGCATACTTCTCTATATTGAAGAGCATGCACAATGACTGAACATGTCAGTTTGAACGTTGTCCAATTAGCCAAGGACATAAGCTTTAAAGCTACCTCTTTTGGCTCAATGCACTCATCAGTGAAATGGCTGGTTTATCCTACAAGTGGGAGCATGCTATTATTGGCTCATATCTTGGAGTGCTGTATTTTTCCTTGTCTCAATTTGCCTTTGGCACCGTCAGCCTTTATTTCTTTTGTCCTCACGGGCATTTTGCCCTTAGGCCTACCCTTGAGATTTTTGCTATCACCATTGAGCCTGCCTTGCCTAGTAAGGATGTCGACACTGCCATCATAGAGAGACACCCTGCCTCTAAATCCAGATGTTGAAATTTGTGATATTCCTAATAAGCATTATCAGTATCTCCATTGGATTCCTAGGATAGAGGAAGTGACTAGAGGACAACCATCGTTTGTTCGCTCAAAATGTTGCCAGCAATATTTAGGTCACAAATCCGTGACATTTTCTGCAAGTGCTCAATCTTTTGAGAGATTTGACGGCATTTGGCACATCGCAAATGCCCATGTGAGTGTGTGCAACTTAGTAGATGAGGTGCTAGCAAATTGGAGCTCTAAGACTTGCTTTAAGTCCCTGTTTGTCAGGCAGCTTTTAGATTGACCAATTCAGTCTTTCCCAATCCATGTCTGATAAGCCGCCATCTCGTGAGCTTTCTTGATTGAACAGGTCAATCTGAAATCCCGTGACATTTTCAAGAATGATCTTGATCGAATAGGTCAGTTTGACAAGTGTCCATCAGTTTCGTGCAGTGTAGGCCAAATTCCCCTGTCTTTTCCTCTATAATTAATTGAAAGCACAATGATCATTCTTGATACATCCTCAAGCAGTCAGTGGCCTCCAGTATACATTGAATTACTTGCTTCAGTTACATTTAGGCATCTTTGTTTCAATATTGAATGTAAGTGTGTGGGTGTTAATAAATTGTGCTTGAGGAGTTTGACTAATCGAAGTAGGTCATATCCAAAAGGGGAACCAGGGGCTGTATTTCCTTAGATTAGGGTTATATTTCCTTAGATTAGCCGACATGAACATAACCCTTACTTGTATCTCAAATGACTTGTTGTCAAAATAAGGCTTAGGAGTCAGTTGTAGCAGTGTGTTCATGTCATTGAATATGATCACTTGGACCAAATGAGGCCTCTCCCTATCTTTTATTCATCATCACACATCGACTTTTTTCTCTTCATTCAAGCTAATAGCACCATTGAAAGAATGTTTTTGCCTTCTTTTCAATGAAGTTTAAGTGATTGACCTTCAATATGCTTTTTCTCTATCTATGTAAAAAGTTTTTCCTGTCTGAAAATTTTCAATTGGTAGCTTGATTTTTTACATTTTCCTTGACTCATTTAGTCTCTCATTTAGTCTCTCAATTAGATTAGAAATCGCCCTTAACCTTCTCATGCTCCCAAGAATTATTGCCATCCTGCAAGATGCTGATGAAAATTCTTTGCCAAGCTTTAACTTTGGCTCGTGCGAATGAATGTCAGCCCAATTTGGTCCTTAGGCAAATGATTTCATAGCTAGAAAAGGAAAATGGTCAGATATTTGATATTTGATGATCCATTTCATGGATGAATATTAGATTTAAAGATAAAGTACTTGGTGTCTTTTCTTTGGTATTGAAAATAACTAAACAATCAAACAAATAAAAGGTGGCTTTTCATAAAAATATTGAGAAAATAGTTTCTAAATTCCAAGTGCTTTGGATGAAATTTGGTCAGGTTTTGGGTGAGCTGAGATTTCAAGTCCTTTAAGCCATCCATTGGCATATGCTCCTTTTTTGTTGGTACTCTCAACTATTTCATAATGATAGACGCTTTATTTTTGTTTATAACCTATTGAGAGTCGCAAGTTAAATAATGATATGGGCTAAGAAATTAGTGTTTATGTCTCCAGCTAAAGAGAAAATATGATACAGAGGAGCATGAAGCTGAATCGAGTGATTGGGCAACAAGCCAAGGGTATGCCGAAGTTGTTAACAGTCCCCTACACACGCCCATATCTATAAAGGGGAAGGGATACAGCAGGGGAAAGGCCTCAAGATATACAAAATCTGGACCCCCAACCCCCATATCAAATGCAGGTGAGGAAGAACATTAAAGAGAAATCATGTGAGGGTTATTGATGTCAAGAAACACCCAAATATTTAGGCAAGTGAGAGAAAAACAAAAAAACGAAAGAAAGAACCCATATCAAATGCAGGCGAGAGAAAAAAACCCATATTAGATACTTGTCCAAAAAAAGCCATATTAAATGGAAAGACTGAAAAAGAAAAGTAGAAAAAAGGAAAAAGCTTTCTTGCTGCTCCGGACCATAGTTAGCAAGTTAGAACATGGTTGTTTCGAAATCCATTAAGAACTCCGAGTTTTTCAAAAAGTTTTAACATGGAACTGATATAACTCTGTATTTTATTTTTTTTAGAAAAACTTTTCAAAAAAATTTCTTCCTTATGACTTTATTATTTCATTAACTTAATATTATTGAATTTCGGTATAACGATAAGTACATTAACATTGGGAATAAATTAAGAATCTTGATTTAACAAAAAATTCTATCAAAAATTTCACCAATGAGTTCCCTGAGAAAAAGTGAACAAAAAAATACAATATGACCCCAAAAAAGTAATCAAAACAATCGTATATCTCAAAATAATCGGTAGAATTAGAGGAAGAGTAACACAATGAAAAATCTTTTTCTTCCTTAAAGCCATAGCGTCCTTATAAAGAGCAAGAGATAGATTTAATGATACTAAAGATTTAGGCAGCTAGGAATTCAGTGTGAGATTTGAATTTGCTTAAGCATTTTGTTGCTTTTTTTATGTATAGAGGAGTTTGATTATTTTATATTTGATTTTGTATTTTTTATTTCATTGGAGTGTACAATATAGCATTATGGATGGACCAGCATTTTACATATTTGGATCTTTGTGTTTTCTTTTAATTAACATCAATCCTATATTGAGGGTATTTTTTGTTTTTTTTGATTGAAAAGTAATCCTATACCTTGGTTTACTGTTCTTGTTATTTGCTAATTAGTTCTTGTGTTTAGTATTGTTGTTGTTATTTCATTTTATGCTCCGAATAAATCCATGATATATTTTGTGCTGTGATTGCTGAATTTATTGCTGAATTTATCAAGTATTACTCTAAGGACACTTTTAAGGCTACAAAATTATTGTTTAATAGTTTTAATATATCTATACAATAGCTGCAAATCATAATCATGTATCATATTTACATATCCAACTTTTTCACTATGTTTTTTTGAACCAAATTCCACGATTCTATTAACTTTATTTTTTGGCAATCCGTATTAATGACTTGATTTTCCTCTTAACTTTTTGAAATAAAACTGATTTATTACCGATGTTTTGATCTGTCGATATCATTGTTAGAAAACCGGGGCGATCTAACCACTAACCGCTTGGTTAGATTGGAACCGGCGAGTGGTTGGTTCCGGTTTTGGGCGGTTTTGGTGATCAACCGGTATTTTTTTTTAAAAAAGGTAGATAAATTCTCAAAAATAAGGAATTTGGTTTGTAATGCATCTTTTAATATTCTTTACATTATGATTTAAATTTTTTCTTTTTTCTTTACATTATGGTAAAGATTAAAACTTGTTTTTGTCATTAATACTCACTTTAATTCAAAAATCGATTTGTTAAAATCTATTTTTTTCATTAATTTTCAAGAATGTGTTTGGTTTTAATCATTATTTATATGCTTTTTATATTTTAGTAGATTTTTTACTTGTATCTTTTTTATTTTTTCAACACTTTTTTGACCGCCCGGTACTTGCCCTGTTGAAACGGTTGAATCGGCCGGTTTACCGGTTAGGCCGGTTAAACCGCTTCCGAGGCCATATCCAGTTAACTGTTCCAGTTCGATTTTGCAAACACTAGTCGATATTCTATTATTCCCTGTCTTGCTAACTATGCACCAAACTCTGTAAAGTGGGGAACTACTCCAAGAAAGTAATTTGGTTTAACTGGCTGGATGCCTTAATTCTCTCTGCAGGTTCACCAGCAAGCAACACTTTGACTCCCGTGGGTACTTGTCGTTATGATAGCTCCCTAGGTATATTTGTTAAGGTTGCCCTCAATGCAATTCGTTTGTTGAAGTTTTATGCCTTTGCTGACATGGGGTTTTTATTTCCCCGTTTCTTTCTCATCTCAAAACAGGCCTATTGACAAAGAAGTTTATCAATTTGATCAAGCAGGCCGAAGATGGTGTGCTTGATCTGAACAAAGCTGCAGAAATTTTAGAAGTAACAAACTTGTAACCTATTTGGCTTTGAACACCACTCAAGTCTTGATTGCACAAGTGTTCTTTTGTCCAGTGGACTTCAGAAAACCATTGTCCATTGGGGTCATGATGAAGGAGAATGGGTCCACTCTGACTTCCTCATTGTCCATTTCATTGCACGATCATGACCCCTTGCCCCCCAATTGGATAATCGTTTTCTGTAATCTATGTGGCTGTATTAATCTCTCCCTTCTAGATTATCATTACTATCGTAGCAAATTTTAACCGTGAACATTTATTTGTATCTTTTTGCAGGTTCAAAAGAGGAGAATATATGACATAACTAATGTTCTCGAAGGAATAGGACTTATTGAGAAGAAACTAAAAAACAGGATACGTTGGAAGTAAATTAAATTCACTTTGCATATTTCTTCTATTATAGCCAGGAGAGTCTTTAGGTAATTAATGTAGGATTGGTTTTAGCAGGGGACTCGATGTTTCGAGGCCAGGAGAGGTTGATGAGGATATAGCAGTTCTACAGGTATGTATGTTTTAGGATTTGATTTATTGATAATCTTTTTAAGTATTTGACTATTGAAAAAGAAAAACTTGAAGGGGGTATCTACTGGGAAGTCTGATTTAGTTCAAAATAGTTTTTAAAGACAAATGGAGATGTATGGAAACGTCTAAGAAAATTATTAAACAGAATCTGTTTGCGTCTTTGTAAATACATCTGCTTGCTTCCTGAAGGCCTGAATTACCTTCCGCTATTGGCATTCCAGATTACCAAAATGTTAAACTTTCATGGATAAAAAAGATTTCCAAGCGTCTAAATTTCAGTAATCTGGTAGGAGGATTGTCATACAGAATTTACCGTAGAAAATAGTGTTCTTGATCCCATTTCGTTTGTTTTCTCCGAACCCCAGTACTGTGGTGTATTAATCAGAGGTGTTTCATGTTTTATCTTTCAGGCGGAGGTCCAAAATCTTCACCTTGAGGAGCACAGAATAGATGAACAAATAAGGTTTTCTAATAGATGTGCAACTGAATCTTCTAGCGCTTTGTTTTTCTTCTGTTTGTTGGTTGGTCGACTAATACTTATATATATGCAGTTTACTTAATAGAGTTATGTTTTCTTGCAGAGAAATGCAAAAAAGTCTTAGAGACCTGAGTGAGGATGAAAATAATCAAAAGTTCGTTATCAATTCCTGTTGCCATTCAACATGTTCTGATTTTGATCTCTCTCTCTCACTCTTCTTTCTCTGACACACGTGCATGCGTGTGCGCTCATGCACACACACACACTCACACTCACTCAAACAGCTGTCTTTTATATGGTTTCACATTTTCTTCTGTCTGTTCAGATGGCTCTATGTCACAGAAGAAGACATCAAAGGCCTACCATGCTTTCAGGTTAAATTCATCTTCTTGGCCATGTAGTTTAATACCAATTTATCCCATTTTAACTCTCACAGCCTTTCCATTCCACCTCGTTGTTTCACTGAAACAGCCTTATGATTTGTCTTCTTTTTTCCTGACAGAATGAGACCCTAATAGCAATAAAAGCACCTCATGGCACTACTCTAGAAGTACCAGATCCTGATGAGGTATGTAGAGGGCTGAATTTGTAAGAATCTGCTTATATTCTCATCACACCCGAAGAATAAGATCCCAATACAACTTTGTCATCACAGGCTGTAGAATATCCACAGAGGAGATATCAAATCCTTCTTAGAAGTACCATGGGACCCATTGATGTCTACCTTGTTAGGTAATCGCTCTCTCTTCCCCTCCCCCTTCACACCCCCCCTCCTCTCTCTCTCCATCCTACCCAGTCATGTTGTAGAAGATTAATAGCAATCTCTCTCTTGACATTTCTTTTAACCATTTCATCTACTGGATGTTTAGTCAGTTTAAGAAGTTAGAAGAGGTGAATAGCGTCGCAGACTCACCATTACAACCGCCTCAATCAACTCCTGATCATGTTGTAACCTCATCTTTGCCAACTACCCTGGAGACAAGTAGGAGGGTGGAGATGGAGGCAGAGGGACAAGATGGGTCCCAAGATTTTGTGGGGGGATTCATGAAGCTGGTTCCCTCAGAGATTGATGTAAGTTCTCCATCACTAGATATGTTAAGCAATCTCTCTCTCACACACAGACACACACCCCCCTTCCCTTTCAACTCATTTCTTCAATCACTAACTTCCCAAAATTTAGGGGAAAAAAAGTCATTTCTTCAATCACTAACTTCCCAAAATTTAGGGGAATAAAAGGAAAAGAAAAAACACTTCTCTCTCAATAAAAGAAATCTCTCTCACACACAATAATATGTTATTATACACGTGAAGAGTATTACAAGAAACCTTGTAATAATTGTTGAATATCATTTTATAGGAAATGATCATATGAGGGTTCTCTCTATCTAAATCATTACTAAAAATCTGGGCCTGATTATTGATTGACATGCTGGTTACTGTTTAATAATAGTCTACACTAGTTCTTGTCCAAGGAAAAAAAAAAACCTAAGATGATCATAACCTTATTGTATTTAATAGCCTCGAGTGTTTCTTTTTGGGGTTTTCTTTTGCAGACTGAGGCTGATTACTGGCTTCTGTCAGATCCCCCGGGGGTCAGCATAACAGAGATATGGAAGGCTGACCGTATCCTTTCACATTCAAAGGCCCATTTCTATTAGAGAGTGTACCATATACCAAACTATCAAAAAAAAAAGAACAGTATACCATAAATAAGGAATACTGCAGGAGCATCTGCCGTCCATCCTGATGATGGATGGGAGAGGTCAACTGTACTCTGGTATGGTTAATCCAATGTCCATCGTTGGGAATGCACTATGGATGCCTCTTTGATGTATCAAGACACACCATTGGTGTGTGGGTATGCTTTGCTTTCTTTGATGTATGGTTTATGGGTATGCTTCTTTCTCATTCTAGATTTTACTTGCAAGGGAACGTAACTATGAGATCATTTACTTTTCATACAAAAAGGTTAAAAAGACCCTAGCATTCAGATGTGAAATTAGACAGCTTTGGTGTATCATTAACTAGGCTCGAAGTAAATTTTTTTTCTCAGACTTTGTACTGACCCCTGCTAGTTGAACTTTACATCTGACTACTTGGGATGTGTTTACCTTTGCGAATGAAAAGGTAAATGGTCTCATTGTATACATTCCCTGCTCATAATATATGAAGGACCTTGACCCTTGTATGTATAAGCTAATGTCGATTGGGATGATCGGGGACATAGGATTGATCCGAACATGTTTGAGATTAGTTCCCCTCAACCAGAGACTGCTTCTGGGGTCGTTGAGGCTCCAACAATTCCTCAAAAGTAAGGACCAAAGTGGAGAAGTATTTAGAAACTTGTCCTAACTGCCTGTCCAATACTACCAGTTTGTGGAGTTGAAGAAATACTCGAACTTCTTAACAAGTTAAGGGGCTGTGCATGCTGTAATGTCCATGCCAATTGCGAGAGAGAGAGAGAGAGAGAGAGAGAGAGAGAGAGGTACGTAGTAGTAGTAGTAGTAGTAGAACGAACTACTACGTACTATATTAGTTTACGTTAGTAAGTAAGTAAATTAAAACTTTAAACTTAAACTAAAC